TCACCTCAGCCTCCCAAAATGCTGGGATTACTGGCATGAACCACCACATCTGGCCTAGCTTATAATTTTCATATTGTTTTTATTGGTTTTATTCAAGGAGTAGGGAAGCATCTGCCTCTTATATTTCTCAGGCCTCTTCCCTTGCTTTTCACGATTGTCTAGTACACTTGATCACACTTCACAGGCTACTTTTCAAGTGTGGCACAGTTTCCCCACTCTACATTTGAGAGTTCAGACAAATCCTTGCTCTACCAGGTGCTGTTTTCCCTGCTGCTTCTGCCTTTAAAATATCCATCTTATCAACAGCTCCGGACGTCTTAGCTCCTACTTTCTGATCCTTCTCATATTGTGACCCCACTTCCCAGACTCGGTAGGAGGGTAACTCATCAATGTTCAGAGTGGCTTTTTTAACACAACTGTATTTAAAGGATCTGGAGGTGAGGCAGGGCGCCATCATGGTGGAGAATCCTTACTTTTCGTTACCAGGTAAAGTATAGAAAGTCACTCCTGAACTTCATACCTTGTGACCTTCGCCCTCATAGGTGAGGTTATTGTAATTTTTTAATGAGCAGAAGATTCTGAGGATATTTTTAGGTCTGATTAAGTTGGGTGAGCCTTTCTCAATTTTTTTTTTTTAGTTTAGTTTTTTTTTTTTTTTTTTTTTTTTTTTTTGAGACGGAATTTTACTCTGTCATTCACACTGGAGTGCAGTGGCGAGATCTCGGCTCACTGCAATCTCTGCCTCCCACGTTCAAGCAATTCTCTTGCCTCAGCCTCCTGAGTAGCTGGGACTACAGGTATGTGCCACCATGCCCAGCTAATTTTTTGTATTTTTTAGTAGAGATGGGGTTTCACCATGTTGGCCGAGATGGCCTCGATCTCTTGACCTCGTGATCCACCCGCCTCAGCTTCCCAAAGTGCTGGGATTACAGGCCTGAGCCACCACACCCGGCCTTCATTTTCATTTCTAAAAATTACTTATTTTTTGGCCAGGCGCGGTGGCTCATGCCTGTAATCCCAGCACTATGGGAGGCTGAGGTAGGCAGATCATGAGGTGAGGAGACTGAGACCATCCTGGCTAACACAGTGAAACCTGTCTCTACTAAAAATACAAAAAATTAGCCAGGGGCATGGTGGTACATGCCTGTAGTCCCAGCTACTCAGGAGGCTGAGGGAGGAGAATTGCTTGAAATCAGGAGGTGAGGTTGCAGTGAGCCAAGATCACACCACTGCACTCCAGCCTGGATGACAGAGCGACACTCCGTCTCAAAAAAAAAATTATTTATTTTTATATTTTGGAAGCAGGGTCTTGCTCTGTCACACAGGCTGGAATGCAGGTGCATGATTATAACTCAACTGTAGACTGGAACTCTTGGTCTCAAGCAATCCTTCCACCTCCAGCTTCCCAAATAGCTGGGGCTGCAGGTGTGAACCACTGCCCCTGGCTAAGTTTTCTTATTTTTATTGTTTTAGAGATGGAGGGGGTCTCACTGTTACCCAGGATGGTCTCGAACTCCTGGCCTCAAGTGGGGTCCTCCTGCCTCAGCTTCCCAAGTCGCTGGGATTATAGGCCTGAGCCACTGTTCTCAGTGGGTGAGTCTTTTAAGAGGATCCCTCATTTTGTGTTGTCCAGAAATCAATTTGAAGTATTAGAAATACCATGGGTATTTATTACTGAGAGGACTGTTAGGATTTGAATTGAGAATTCCAAGTTGAAAATAAGCGATTGAACTGTAACTAAAACATTCCCTCACCAACTCATTTCAAACTCCCAATATGTAATATACAACCCCAATTCAATAAGCTAACATATTCTTGAAGCTGACAAAAAGCAGAGATGGCCATCTCTTATAATCAGCGGTTAGCTAGCCCTTTCTATAGAGGACTGGATAGTAAAGATCTTAGGCATTGAAGGCCATACATTATATGTTGCAGCTGCTCAACTTCTCCATCTCTGGAAAACAGCCAGAAAAAAGTATAAATAAATAACTGTGGCTGTACTCCAATAAAAACTCATTTATGGATACTAAAATTTAAATTGTGTATAATTTTTATGCAGAAAGTATTTCTTTTGTTTTTTCAACCTTTAAAATTATAAAAGTGGGGACCACAGTTTACCACACCCTGCTATAGATTTTCAAGTGGAAAGGTCATAGCTACCATTATTAAATAGCCAACATAAAAACAAAAGTATGACTGGTGTCATTCCAAGGAAGAAATTAGGGAATTTTAAGTGACTAAACTGGAAATACAAAAACAGCTAGACAGCACCTGGGGTATAAACTGTCTCCACCTTGGGCCATACCAGCCTCTCACATCCTTGTTAAGATGAGCCTGGTGTTCTTGTCGCTCTCTCCTCCCCAGGTACACCCCCACCATGGAGTCCCTTCTTCTACTATCTGGAATGCCAATGGCAGGATCCAGCAGCTTAACTTTTCTCTCCCCATCCCCTCCTTCTTCTCCTTCCCTTTCCCTCCCCCTTTCCTCTCTCTTTTCTTTCTTTCTTTCGGGGTTGTGTTCTGCCACCCAGGCTGGAGTGCAGTAGCACAGTCGTAGCTCACTGCAGCCTTGAACTCCTGGACTCAAACAATGCTCCTGCCTCAGCCTCCCCCGTAGCTGGAACTGCAGGTGCATGCCACTGCACCTGGCTAATTTAAAAAATTTTTTCGGGGAGAGATACGATGTCACTTTGTTGTCCAGGCTGATCTCAAACTCCTAGCCTGAAGTGATCCTCCCACCTCAGCCTCCCAAAGTGCTGGGATTACTGGCATGAGCAACCATGCCCAGCTACTTATCTGATCCCATGTGCTACTTCCTCCATGAGAGAAACACACATCCTCCAACTACACAACTGAGCAATGCTCATCTCCAGTGAAGGAGATGCTTTATTCTTTTCTTTTTAGGCCTTACACTCTGTCTAGATGGTTCCATAGCAACACAGGAAATAGCTAAGAGATGGTTCTCGGTGACCAAATCCAACTAGCTCAGCTAAGTGTACCAAAGATGGATGTATTTTTGAAAAGATGAATTATATCAACTTATTAGAACCCATGCTTATAATATAAATTTCAAAAACAGATGACATGTAACACATAAAAGCATGTTAATAATTCCATTGATAAACTATATAGTAGATCTCCAATCTTTTTAAGTTAGGGGCTTTGGTGGCTTTTTTTTGTTTAATTTCTGTCAGACTTTGGTCAGTGGACATATGCAAATACAGTTTTGTCTCCATGGGACAACCACAGTGAATCAGAAGTTGAGGTTTGGTGTCAATCCAGGCAGTAGGCTTTTTCTTAAAAGGAGCCCTTTCAGAAAAACCTAGAGCAACCTGGGGCCACAATTAGTGCATCAGTATTTCTAGATTTAACAAGCCCGAACTATTCACTCTCTTCTGAAAGGGCTACTTGATCCTGGAAGGATCCACATAGACAGCATTGATTTAACAGTTGAATGAAAAATGCCGGGTCCAGTTCGGTCTAGTTTTCCCATGTAGGCTTTACCTGTACACCTCATTTATAGGGTCCTGTAGTTTTCCGTGTATGTTCCTGTGTGTGTGTATTTGTGTGTGTGTGTGTTGCAGATTTCTTAATACATTCTAGTACTTGCTTGGCAGCTATTCTAGGCTCCAGTGAAACTGAAACAGTAGAGGCAGAATAGTCCGAGATCTCCAAGTATTCAGAACCTGGTAGAGGAGAAGGGCATCTAGAGAAAACCTTTATGGTGTATTGTGATAGGTGATGTAACAGAAATAGGAAGTGAATGATTTGGGAGTGCCTAAGAAAGTAACACTAACTCTGTCTGAGGATGTGGCAGCATTTAGTTGGGATAAGAATATCCTTTCCACTGTAAAATAGTGAAAAGCGCTGGATTGAGAGCCATGCATGTTTTTACTGACTTTGAGTAATGTTACTACCTTGAGCCTCAGTTTTCTCATCTGTAAAGTGGGTTCAGCAATACTCTGTAGCTTCCTGCATGGGGAACAGCAGAGATCTCCCTTCCCTATCTTAGGCTCTTTTCACCAGAGGCCATGTGTGACCAAGAAGCACAATGTAGATTGCTGGGTGTAAGGGGCAGAAGAGAGATCAGTTTTTGTGGGGTTGTGTGGGGACAAGCCTCCCATTCTGAATGCGAGCCAGGAAAACAGCACACCTGGGTCAACCATTGTCCCACTCCCCCTGGGAGCTCATTTGGACAATGGGATAGTGTATCTTTTCCCAGCACAGCCTTTGCATATTTTACTGTCCTTACAAGTTGACTAAGGGACCTGGTCAAATTACATACTTCTTCAGACAGCTTTTCTCTGTGCATTTTAGCTTTAGGACCAACGTGCTGATTTCTCAGGCCTTACCCCAATTCTTAAATCCTGTAAACTTTACGCTATTAAGGTATCTAGGATTTCCCCCCAAAGGACAAGGAAAAAGTACATATCTGTGAATAATGGGTACTTAATACCTGATATCTGGGGGTAATAGAGTACATTATCTTTCAATAAAATTTTGTGTATATTCTTGGACATTGTGTTTTAAAATAGCCTTCAGCCACCTAAGTGATGCACAGTCCGGGGGGTGGCGGTGAGGGGGCACCCCTCACCATGTTATGTTGAAACAAAGCATAACTGATTGCCCTTAAGAATTCTTTATGACTTTCAGCCTTCAAATCAAATCAAACTGGGTAAAGCTTTCATACTTTCTTTTTAGTCTGCTGGTGGTGATATGTCCAGTGGCAATCAATTCATGCCCTTTGATATTTTGATGGCAAAGTCTTATGGAGGAGACCAGTGTTAACTAGCTTGCCAGATGTCACAGCAGGCAAAACAAGATTGAAACCCTCACCTGTCTGACCAGCCCTGCTGGTGGGATGGTAAGGTTTCCCGACAAAGATTTACTAACTGGAAAATTCACTGAGAACACCAGCTTCCTGACATAGAGCACTGGCCTGGTTGTTATGGCAAGGTGATGGATGGAGCGCCAAAGCTTGTGTTCCTTTGTTTCTTCCAGGAGAGAAACCCTACAAGTGTACCTGGGAGGGCTGCACCTGGAAGTTCGCCCGTTCGGATGAACTGACGAGGCATTACCGCAAACACACGGGAGTGAAGCCATTCAAGTGCGCGGACTGTGATCGCAGCTTTTCCCGGTCAGATCATCTGGCTCTGCACCGCCGGAGGCATATGCTGGTGTGAGGAATGCTACCTGTCCAGCTGAGCGTAAGAGCTGGATCTCTTAGCGGCACCCAATTCAGCAGGGCTGAACCCCCTTCACAGTGTTAACACAAAAGGGCATCACCATCCCACGATGTCTGAAACCAGAGCAGGAAAAAGAAGGCACACTTCTTTTGGTCTGAAGGTAACCCCCATCATGACTTCACGAGAACCGTCTTTACATGGGCCTGGGAGCTCAGTGACGCAAATGCTGAAGAGACAGACATTGTTTTCCGTGCTGTGTCCTCTGCCATTTAAAGATGTTTGTAGCTTGTACATTTTCTGAGCTGTCAGACATTTTGTTATTGATACCTTAAAGGTCACCTACCACAAATTGATGGCTAGAGCAAGACCTTTTAAATTTGGATGAATCTCCCATCATCCCACCCCTTAACCCCTTTTTACAGAAATTTAAGTTACAATCTGAGTAAGCTAGAACACACATCCAATCTGTTACCAGCAAGCAGCATGAAAGTAGAAACGAAGAAGCAGATGGAGAGGTCCCATTACCTGCAAAGAAAGGGCACTCAGGCAGCCCTTTGCAATCGCGATGGCGGCCACTAGATATCACTCGCAACTTGTCATTCTGCCATGCCCTGAAGAAAACCAACATTGAATCTTTCATTTGTTTGTCGTTGATTGTTTTTGTTTTGTTTTGATTCTGTTTTGTTCATCTGTTCGAGCAGAGGGGCAGTTGAAGTCTCGTCCTGGTCTCTGCCCTGGCATGGACTGGCACAGAGGTGTTCTGTAGTTGAATAGGAAGAGCCTGTCTAAAAAAACTACTGCCCCACTTCAAATTGCAGTGTTCTGTCACCTAGGCATCATCTCTTCCTGCCCCTAGTATTTGATTACAAGGAACCAGGGGAAAAAAACTTTCTTAGACACACTGGCACCAAGGTAAGAGGTGGGGCTGCCCAGGCAAAGTCAGTGAACATGAAAAATCAGACAAAGCAGAGATGGAAATAATGCGCCTCTTGAGGAGAAAAGCAATAATGAATAAAAGGACTTTCCTACAATAACTTCACTGAGGACTCACGTTACCAATTTTCATACTTACTAAAGGGATTGTAAAAAACACCCCAGCATTTTAGGTGTCTTGGTTCCATTTACAGCACTGAGGTAATCTTTCTGCTGTTTGTTGTCCTGCTTGGTTGAGTACCACAATTAAAGATTATGCTCCCCTTTTCTTGTTTGAAAACAGTTATTTGGTGACTAGAAAGGCAAGGGAGGCATAGCTGGGAATTAACTCTTTGGTTAATGGGTCAGTTCTCCTTGGAATTGAATCAGTGGAAAGAGAATGCTTCCCATAGAAAGCCTGACATGGTGCTAGTTTCCTCTCTTGGAGAGCCAAGGATAAGTGACTCTCCAATAGGTTCTTCTGTACAGATTTCATTTTCTAAACTGTATCAGGACCCACGGTCCTGCACTGGCATCTGCAGGGATATTGAACCCACTCATCCTGTGCAGAGGATGAGAGGAAGGTGTTAGTTCCATCAACCCCCTAAAATTATGAACCTTTTTGCAACTAGCAAAGTATACAGTAAACAAGCAATACATCACCAACAAGCATTCTTTCAGAAAAATTACCATATTTTTGTGCCCACTACAAGCTGGGTTTTTTCCAGCTTTCTGTGGCTGAGGGGCTTGGTGAGATTTTTTTGTTGTTGTTATTGTTGTTGTTGTTAGAATTTTTTATAGCTTAGATATAAAAGGTCTCCACCAAAGACCTTTGCAATATATTTTAATTACAAACACTTGATTTTGGGGATTGCACATATTAACCTCACAATATTACTAGCTCATTTTTAAATGTCTGGACATTCTGAAGTAATTTCCGGTTGCAGAATTATCCTTTTTAGGATCATCTTCTAATTCAGATAATCTTGTTCTGATGAAGCGAGAACTATGAACATTGAAACAAGGACAATTTGTGTTGGATGGTATTCAAAGGCATTTTTTAAAACGTTAAGCAACAGTATAATGATTTTCAGGTCAAATTATGGCTTCAAAAATATGTGCTCTATATTGTCTGCCAGATCTCAAAAATTTATCGGCAATTTCCCTCCAACAAGGGCTGCAGTTCTAGTGATAAATAGCATCTTCAGCTACACAGTCTACTACTACTCACCAGCCAGTAGGGTTTTTACCACCTGGAAAGCTTTTTTTTTTTATCTGTACTGTATGCAACTCTGACTTCACATTACCTGTGACCATTTGGAATTTAAAAAAAGGTCTCTTGTTGCATGCCAGCGTTGGTTACTAGTCAGTGGCAGAGAACACAGACAGGGACACACACAGCCATGAACCCCCTGGTGCTAGAGCAGCACCTCGTTGGCAAGTAGTCGGGGCGCATCCCTCAAGTGAAGTGTAGATTTGAATTTAGTCTTGCTTGCTCTCATAAAAAAAGCCAGTTCTTTTCTCTGCTGAAAGATGTCTTAAGAGTATTACAGGTAGACTTGGTTTTTAGAATTCATAAAACTGACAGGCAGAGGAAGCTTCCTGAGTGACAGCTTGGTTTAAATTTAGCACAGAACTAAATGAGTTGCACTTTTCTAATAACATAGGATGGATTTGGGGAAGGGAGCATTTTTCCTCATCCTCTGAAAATGGAAACCAGACCGAGATGGTAAGTTAACTGATAAAACCTGTCAGCATTCCATCATTTTCCCCTTTTGACATATCAGTACTTCTAAGAAGGGATCTAAGCACAAGTAAGTGAGTGAGTCCCTGGCCTAGCCTCAGGAACTGAAACTTCCTTGGGGCTTGTCTTAGGACATGGCAAATTCTCCTTGGTGAGTTTTCTAAAAGTATTTCCCCATGGAAAGGAAAAAGTGGTTTGGGACAGAAAGAAATGGAATGTCTTCAGTCATGAAAAAAACCTCCATTTCATCTCATGTCCATTACTAGCCTCTTTCAAAAAGCACAGTGCATCATGAGCAACAGAAAAGCAGTAGAATCCTAAAGAACTTATCAGTTGTTCCCTAACTAGAGGCATTCTTTGATTTTAAATTTTAAGCTGTTCAATTTGCAGCTGGGGATATGTGCATGGTTGAGAATGTGTACACATAGAGCGGTTAACCCCTTAAGCAGCTGCAGTAGACCTGATTTTCTGTTTGCAGTATAGAGATTGATTTCAGGGGATTTACATTATTTGAAAAGTTATGATGGTCAGCCTTTAAGGTTTTAAGAATCTCTTTTCATGCTCTGATCTTAAGTTGTTTGGAAAAAGATTCACACTTCTGCATCCACATCCACCTCTGCCCTCATCCTGTCAGTTGTGTGTGGACTCTGAGAAGCCTGCTTGATAACTTGCCTTAAGTTCTATTAAGGCAGTTAGACTGAGATTTCTAATGACTTTCCCATGAAGATTATACTTCTGCCTGGCATCATTTCTACAAAACACTATAGGACACTGGTTTTCAAAAGCAGTTGAGTAACAGCAACATACACAACATTAAAAAAAAATGAGCACTTTTCATTCACTTGAAAGCTTAAATGGGAAATAGGAAGATGATTGTCAGGGGAAAAACTTACAAAATGCTACAGTGTTTACAAATGCCAGTTCCAGGTGATTAGAAAGGCCATTTTCATTATGGTTGGAATTTTGAATAGCTTATGTAAAGATTGTGTTCATTTTTATACAATTCTTTTTGACTTTCAATTGCCATTTGTGTTTTAAACATAATTCTGCACTTTGAAATCAGTTCATTAGAATGATAACATTTATATGGATAAAGATGCAGTATTCCTTATTGTGTACTTTATTTATTATACTTACCAAAGCTGCAACTGAATAAATATGGTGAGGTGAGGCCTTCAAATGTATTAATACGCCTTTGTTATGTTGTTATGACTGCTTAGAAATGTAGCCATGATATTGTTCTAAAGGTGTCTTGACATTTATAGTGAGGATTGACAGAAATGAAGCAGTATTAAGAATACCAGCATCCATGTTACAGTCTGCATATAAGACTGAATGTGAGATAACTCTTCCGAATCAGAATAGGCCCAGAAAGCCTTAATATTCATAGTTCATAAGCCAGTGTCAGATTTCGCTCTTCAGTGATGCCTGTCGACTTAGCAGGTAAATGTATTCTAGAATAAAACATCATTAACCAAATCTCTTCCTTTAGTTTTTCTGAGATAGTGCATCCCATAAAAAAGTCTCTTCAATTTGATTTGGCTTTAGTTTAGAAAAGGGGTTTGGTAAGTCATGTCTTCCATATGACATTTCTACTCATTCCCACACTGCCTTCCACTGAACCTGTACAGACAGCCCCCACACATGCACATGTGTATACACAACTGTATATGCAGCAGCCAGTGGGCTAACAAATATCAACAAAGAACTTTTTTAAGAAGAATTTGTAATAATCCATGCTGTCTAGAAATGTGAGTTACATACCTTATTAGGAAATCGGCTTATAGTACTATATATGACTCTGCCTGCATTTTATAGTTAATAAATGTACATAAAAATTACTATATTTTCACAGTTTCATTATAGAATAATGTCTGTTTAGTAATCCATGTCCATTGGTACTTTAAATATGCTAATTACTGAGCAATTGCAATAGAAATCCAGATTTTCTTAAGAAAATGAAATAGAAGGATACTGCATCTTTAAAAATAGAGTGAAGATATTTTACTGTATTCGTAACATATGTGATAGTGGAAAAAGTATTTTCAAACTCACGGATTTTACAGAGGTTGTAAATAGTTTGATGAAGTATGTTGGGAAAAAGAGCTTCTAGTTTTCATCACAATGAAAAGTAAAAACTTGTTCAGATATGCCTTGTATATCTTACACACAATGAGCAATATTGCCATGGGAACTCTGTCCAACTTTGTCAGAGCACGTTCTTCATGTTCTGTTCAAAATTGTGGCCACTTGTCACTGTTTAGCCAGGATGGTTTAAAATATAATGAAGTCATTTTAAGTTGCAGACAACTGATTCCAAACTAGTAATATCCTTTTCTGAAAAGGGCAAAACAGCTGCACAGCATTTTGCTTGTATGAAAGAGGAGCATCTTACAATTGTTCTCTTTTCTCAGTATCTCCCTCCTCAGCAGAGTGGTTCTTGATGAAACAACTACACAGGTGTTTATTCTTGTGTAATTCCAGAGATATAGGTGTAACTACATGTTGACAAGATTAAGTGTTGTGGATATGACCACATGCTGAATGAATTTATACTGGCAATAGGAATAAGCTAATGCCCATTTTCAGAAATAAATTAAATGCTGAAAGTGCCTGTCAGTAAACATTATGACCAATGAGATCTTCCTATACTTTTACACAGCAATAACTCTTAATTAGACATTAGGGCTTTTTTCTGCACATGAGAAAACACACACACACAAACACAAACACACACACACACGGAGTAAATGCACGGACATAGTAAATCAAATCTGTTCACATGCCCGCCAAACAAGCTTTTATATATTTCAAATGTACCTAATCATGTTTACATTAACATTTCTTAATTTGGTCTTTCTAATTTCCAGATAAAGAGTTGACTGTCATTTGCCCCAATCTTATGAAACAGTATGTATGATTTTAAAAGTTTTGCTCAGTTAAAAACACCAATTTATTTAGAGCAAAAGACTGAAGGATATTTGTTTGCTTGTTTCATTTTATCCACTCATATCAAACGCACAAATTCATCTTTACATTTCTTCATTCCCTTTTCACCTAATATTACCTATTATCATCTAAGGCTCATTTGGGAATGAATATTGACAGAATCATTTTTCTCCAAAAAGTCTATTGAAGTACTACTGACACTTAGTAAGCCTAGCCTTTAACCTATTTTGCATTTAGTCCTAAAAATTACCAGATTTACATTTAGAAGCTCACAGGTTTTTTTCCTGTAATTTTTGTACTGTTAAAAGTAGAGTCATGAATAGAAGAAATATGCAATGAGACTCTGTGAATAGACATGAACCCTGGGAATTCTCCAACCCTGCCATCTCAGAGCACAGATTCACCCAAACAAGCTACTGAGGCTATCAGCAAAAATTATACTCATGGAGAGTCACACATTGGGTAAGGGCAATTTTAAAAGTAGGACTGTGATTAAACATTCAGACTTTAGACTTCCGTGATGGACTCAGACCACAGGCCTCGAAAACCAGCCACTGTTTTCTCCTCCCAATGTTAGAAAGAAGGGAAGGGAGAAGATCAGTGTACCAGGATGAGGGGGTAAAATAACCAATTAAGTGTCAAAGGGAAGCTGCTGGGTTCCTTAATCTCACTGAAGTCAAGTCTTCTGACTGGGCTTCTTTCCATGTGTTATCTGAAAGTACTAAAGTACCTTGAAAGGTTTACACATTCAGCAAACCATGAAAATAATAGCTATTCTTTATTAAACACTATGTGCCAAGCACTAGGCCATGCAATTTTTAGATCCGTTACTTCCAATCTGTACAACATTTCTACATTTTATGGATGGGAAACAGAGGCATGAGAAGTGTGGCTGAGTTGTTCATGAATGTAGAAATAGTAAATGGCAGAGTGGGAATGTGAAACTGCCTATCTCTGACCTAAATAGGCCTGCCTGTAATTTTTCCACTCCACCACACTGCACGTGGGTTTCCCAAAACCACCGTCCCAGATTCCTGAGTCTCAGTAATTTTATTATGGACAACATGCATGAGTAGTCATCATATATTTCAAATGAAATATCGGGACATGATATAACACAAGACTTAACAGCGGTACTGAATATTTGAAATCAGTCCTCTCCTGGAAAATCATGCATGAAGGATTGTTATAAACAAACAATAGCAACCAGTTGTCTCCCAGAACTTCTCACTTTTCTCCTAAATGTCTGGCCTGGAGCTCCAAAATCATCCAATTACTTAGTGGCATTTTAGCCTGAGTACACTCCCTCAGTTCCTCCACTCTTTGAATGCCTTTCCACCAATATAGACATTCTAGAACCTGCCTCAGATGCATTTGAAATGTTCACCCCCATGGAACTAGTTATTAATGTCAGAGCCCACTCTTGCCATTGTTAATGGGGTGGCGATCAAACATTCAGATGATGATCAAGGAGACATCATGGATAATTCTTTTTCTGATTCCTCGCTTAACAGCAGCTCCGCGTCAGAATGTTTTAAATAGTCTTATAAATAATTTGTTTATAGTATTGTTGTTAGTTTAATTGAATTTTATGTAAGAAGCTGTCCAACATCAGAGAAATGAAATTCCTCCCGCTTTTCTGTGTAGGACAAGGTCTCTGACAGTATTGATTCATGGAAGTACTAATGGACTTAGAAAACATTAAGAGAATGTCATTTCTCGTAGCATTTCTGTTTCTGAAAATGAATCTCCTGAATTATGATCTTTCTCCCTGTTACTTGGCTGGGGAAAGAGATAAAAGCTGTATAAACAAATTCTCTTCCAAGCTGAAAGCAAGTGTTCCGTGTGCCCAACCTGCTGCAGACTGGGGCTCTTCTCAGTTAATTGGGTTTCACAAGCAATAATTTCTCCACAACAAAAACCACAACTTGTGAGTTGAACAGAGGTGAATAGTGGAAACAGTCACCTCAGTACTTTTCTTTCTGGATTTCATCTCTAGAAATTTGAAGTGTTTGAGACAAGCGTCCACCCTTTGTGCAAGGCAAGACCCAGTGAATGACTCCTTGTGTGAATTATTGCATCTTGTTCCAAAGCAGGTTCACCAAGACTTTCACAGAGATTCATTTTTGTTGAGAAATAAGGGTCAGTAGGAGGATGGAATTTGGATCCAAATCTAGTGATAAAAGTGTCCAAGCAATCAAAAAGTAAGGTATTTTTGGGACATACCAACATCTTCCCTTTCTGCTAATTTCATGCTCCAAAGATGTGGCAAAAAGAAAATCATAGAAAATGCTTTTGCCCTACTTGTGTTCTAGTTTTCCCATGGCAGAATTTTGTAATTACATCCAGACTGTAGTGTATATTTTGTTCCTCAAACTTTATCACATTGGATGGATATTGTTGAACTGGGGCACTGGTGCCTATATTCAAGGCTCTTTCCTATCAACGTGTCTGTCCACAATTTGTTGTGTTTCAAACTTCATTTTGAAAACTCACCGTCCCCCCAAGGGATAGTGACTGTATTGTTTTGTTCATGTCTGTGTGGGACACATTGCATCACATGGCAAACCAACTCTCTGTGGATGTGAGATAAGTACTTATAAAACCAGCTTGAAAACATCGTCTTATGTATTATGTCATCCTGCATAATAATGCAATTATGTGTATCATAACATGCTCATTTAAAAAAAGAGAAACCAGCAAATTCATGTTTGTCCATAGAAGAATGTACTCAGAACTTTGTGTTGTGAAACGATGAGAACAGACCACCTTGAAGATACCCACCTGCCACTTAAAATGAGTTAGTTATAATTAGTAGTAGTCTAGACGTTCTTGGTGTGTGGGGGTCAATTCTAACGTCATGTTCTTTTGAATAAATCTCTCAGTCATATTTGAAAAAAATACATGAAAATAAAGAAAAATATCATCTTTGGCCAAATCAAGCAGGCATCTTTTTTCTTCTCCTTGACGTTTAACTCATGATACATGGTGATTAGATCACATGAGCTTTCCGTGTAAAAAATACGAAAACATCTTTAGTTTACAAAACAGTTATTCTAGGCTTGAAGCCTCTGAACAGCAAATTGAATAGATGGGCTGTATCTGATTTGCTTTATGGATGTAATTTTACAAAAGACTCTTGGGTCTCTGACCCCAGAGAGTTAAGAGTGCCCAGAGGAGGTCCTACACATTAAAGGGTAAAGCCCCCCTGTGATACTGGCAAGCAAATGTGTTGAGTTCTTAAATCTTCATTTGGTTTTCTGTTCAGGATTTTAATTGCAAATGAATTTATTTCTCCAGTTTATCTAAAGATCTAATTTCCCAATAGTTTCCTCTGCATTTATATACTCTGTAGTGTTTAGGCAACCCCTGTTATAAGTTTATTAATATTATGTAAGTGTTGTTCTTGTATTTATGTATAGTGTATGTATTGTAAATATACTCAGAGCTTTTTTTCCTTTTACTGTAAAATGGTGATTTTTTTTTGCCCTATGATTATGTAAAGGGAGACCCTCCTAATGAGATTCTCTCAGAGGATGATTATTCCAGTCTATTCTCAGAGATTTAAATGAACAAGTGTTATTGTTTTTAATGGTGTCTCAGACATATTCTGTTGGTGCATTGCTTTTCTGTATTCAACTTTCCTATGAATTGAGCTGTGAACTGAAATAGAGTTTAAACCTTTAACTGTATGCATTTGTATAATTATCTGAATGAAGGCATGAAGGTTAAATAAAGCATTTTGTATGGAACAAAACTCCCTAACTGACTCAGACACTTTGGAAATCATAGTTATTAACCATTCTCATTAAACCTTTGTTATGAAAAGTTTTACCATTTGTGTATAGTAATTTAAAACACAGAACAAAATAGAGTCTATTCTAA